CAAATTCGCGGGAAGCTGGCTTCACCCCTTCGCGGCCGCTTTTGAGCCAGCCCTGATATAAGGAAAAGGATCTTTTTCCTGTCGATTACGGGTAGAGGTTGCGAGCGAACCTCTTTGCCCAGCGTTGCGAGCTCGTGGTGGGCTTGGTAGCCAAACATGTAGACGGACTGCCAGTTGATCGTGTTGTTGGCGAGAAGAAAGACACTATCCCACTGGGAGTCAAACGACCCAAAGCCACCATCAGTGATGCCGGAGAGCGCACCGACAATAACGCCCGTCGGGATGTAAGCCTTCTGGGAGTTGATGGCGAGGCCGCCTCCTCCTGTGGACACGTATCGATTCTTGAACGCTTCCGGAGCCGGAGCCCAGTAGGTGACATGGACGCGATCGCCATCGGTCATACCATCGTGCGAATAGGCGAATGTAATGTTGCAATAGTCGAAGGAAGCAGTCGGATACCACTCGCTCGAAGCGGATGCGTTCCTTACGAGTGTCGACTCAACCGAGTCCGCATCGATTGTGAGTCCCGGGAAGAAGTCAGCAGCAGGTAGTGATGACTGAGCGAACGAGGTGGAACAGAGTTCAGTAAGGGAGGTGGCCTGCGCTGCTGCACAAGAGACGGTCGAGGCGAGAGCCCAGAGGGCACACGCAAATTTCCATGGAGAGGCCATGTATGAATTGAGGTTGCAGGCAGAAGAAAATGAGATAAAATACGGAATTGGGTATTAACTGGAGACACAAAATAAGTTTTGGCGACTTTGGATGCCACGAAAAGCATTGAATAGTGGCCTTATAGGCCAAGATAAACTGCGTGCTGCTTGTAGCTAACTTATCGGCAGAGGAAGGCCAGCCAGTCGGCTCACGATGTCGACGTGCGCATCTGACGTCCGAATACGCGTGGTCAGGTCCATCAGCCCCACAGCGTTCCTCTCAGGCTGATGTGTATGGCATTCTCGCGCCGCCCCTTGGCCGGACGAAGTGGGGGTGATCGCGAACAAGCATCGACGGGCGGCATGCCGGGAGCTGCTCGCAACAGCCCCACCGGGCCCGAACTCAGCCCTTCGGTCTTGGTGGGGCTGTGCCGACCCCTGACCTGACTCGACAAGTTGCTACAAGGGTCCAAAGATATGAAAAGGCCGCGATCCCCCTTGGTGGTGCAAGGACAAACTGGCTTGCGTCAACACGTTTCGTGGATCGGACGAATCTGTCGTCCAACCAATGCATCCATCATCGGCCGCCTATGCCGCCTCGATGGAAGAGTTGAACAAGGCTGATCGCATGCTAGGGATACCAGGACAATGAATGGGCATATCGTCGGTGAGATACTCGGATGCTACGACTCGAGGGCCTTCCGGCGTCCGGACCAGCATGTTGATCGACCTGCGGTACGTCATCCGTCCGTCTGGTCCTTTTAGCACTTGGAGATTGTGGTCAAAGTCGGCGGCGAAGATTCGCATCGCCTCGGGTGGGTAGGGGACATCGCGTTCCTCGACTGCGCGTACGCAGTCCTCCAGTGACATGCTGTGCTCCATCTCAGTGACGCGTCGGCCGACCCTGTACATGGTACCGACATCAAAGAGCCCTTCCTTGGCCGCGACGGCGTTCCCCATCAACGTCAGCGCCTTGAGGCGGATCGGCAGGTCGCGGCACCTGCTCGAGGTGAAGGCCAGGATGGGCAGCAGGCCGGGTTCGAACGTGAAGCAGGCTCGTTGCGGCTGGGACGATACCGGAGGAGCCACCTTGAGCGCTGCCGCCTCTTCTGCCAGTTCCATTATGGTCCGAAACGACTCGGTGTGTCTGTCAAACGACATTTCAGATCCTTCACCGCCAATGTCGACGAGGATCTTCAGCATCTCGTGCGAAGCGCGAAGGTGGCACAGAAGGCAGCGCTCGGCCGGGCTGGAGGCAGGCGACTCAAGCAGGGGCGTGACGCGATCGGACCACCGGTCGAGCAAGACCTTGCAGTGGGCTCGTAGTGCTGGATCGGGATTCAGGCGCGCTTGCCTGGAGCTGGGGCCCATCGGGGCAAGTTCGCGCGTGCGGTATTTGAGGTCACACAGGGATGCCTCGGCCTCCAAGACCGTGACAAAGGGGTGCGTATTGGCAAGATCGCTTGTCATGTCAAAGTCGAGCGGCAAGGCCGCCCCCTGGCGGAATGCTCGCGCGGCAAAGGGAGACGCGTGCAGGCGGCGGAAGATTGGCAGTAGGTGATCTCGCGCCCAGCCCGAACATCCCGACTCTGCGATGATGGCAATGCCATATCTGCAGTGGCGGATGACCGAGTCGATGTCGCCGAGCAGAAAAGCGACACATAGGTAGAGAACGCAGGTCAGGAGGACAAGACTCTCGTCCTGGGCGGCCTGGATATGGCGCAGGGAGGCATTGTAGTGTTTCAGCGCAAAGGGGTTCCCTGGCAGCTCGCTCGTGATGCGTTTGCCGTTCTGGAAATCCTCGTGCAGCGAGCTGATGGCGAGCACAGCGTGACGTACGGCGGGGGCAAAGTGGCCGAACTGCATGACGAGGTGTGTCCAGAAGTATGCATCTTGGGGTCCGGACAGAACGGGACCGACAACACGGGCAAAGTATTGAAAGGCGCGGCCCTCCATCTGATCGTGGGCAATCAGTTGATGCGGGCGGTACCAGGCGAGACTACGCTCCTGGGGAGACCTCTGGTGCTCCATCTCGTATCCGGCACATTGGCGGCCGGTCGATGT